TTCTCTCTTTCTCTCTTTCTCTCTTTCTCTCCCTCCCTCCCTCCCTCCCTCCCTCCCTCCTTCCTTCCTTCCTTCCTTCCTTCCTTCCTTCCTTCCTTCCTTCCTTCCTTCCCCCTTTCTGTGTATGTGTTTTGTGTGTGCATATATGTGTGCATATATGTGTGTATAAATTTCTGTATATGTGTATATATGTGTGTTTGTGTTATATATGTTGGTTTTGCGCATGCGTTGTAATTTTTTTTTTTTGGCTTTTTATGTCTCTTCTGCTGTATTTTTCAGTGTTTTTATGAGTGATGGGCACTTGTTGAGCTGATAGGTGTATTGTGTCCAAATTTTGTGTCAATTTGTCCAGTGGTTTTTGAGTTGTTAATCCCACAAACGAACATTACATTTTTTTATATAGATACTAGCTGTACCCGCCACACATTGCTGTGGCCAACCTTCCCTCTCCTTCTTTCTTTCTCTCCTTCCTCCCTTCCCTTTTTTCTTTCCTTCTCTCCTTCCTTCCTTCCTTCTCTACCGCTTTCCTTCCTTCCCTTCCCTTTTTCTTTCTCTCCTTTCTTCCTTCTCTACCTTTTCTTGGACTGTAACTCCCAGCAGCCCTCCTAGCTGATTTATTTACCAACTATCTACCTCTATCTAATCTATCTATCTTCTCAATCTGGAGTTGCAGATAGATAAGATAGATAGATTAGATAGAGGTAGATAGTTGGTAAATAGATCAATCTATTCCTGGACTGCTGGGAGTTGCAGTCCAGGAATAGAAAATAGGAAATATGTATGGATTGGGATGCTCTCAAAGAAATCAAAGGAGAAGAAAACTTGCATCTTGGAAGCAGTGCATTTGGAGGAGGATCCTAAAGGATCTGATCTAAGGGATGCTGGGAGCTGTCGTTTTCCCGCATGCGATATATTGTCATTTAGCTTTTTGGGGTTTTTAAGTCCTTTCCACTGTTTTTTGGGAAGGGTTTATGAGTGATGGTCACTCGTTGCTCTGTTAGGGGTGTAGTGTCCAAATTTCGTGTCAATTAGTTCAGTGGTTTTTGAGTTATGTTAATCCCACAAACTAACATTACATTTTATTTCTTTATTTAGATAGATAGATAGATAGATGATAGATAGATAGATAGATAGATAGATAGATAGATAGATAGATAGATAGAGATATATATCTACCAGAAATTTCAGTAGGCATTACTTCTTGCCTGGATAAGCAAGACCTGCTTAAGTTCCCACTCCTGCACAAGGAGCACTCTCCATTTTTAATCTAGCTCAGTGGTTCCCAACCTTTTTTTGACCAGGGAACACTTTAACTAGGGACAACTCTCCAACATTAGTACCAAAAGGGTCAATTTTAGATTCGGTTTGGTTATTTGGGGTGCTGATTCAGAAAATTGCATTGGATAGACCACATCAGCTCTAGTTTCCGATACAGAGCACATGCAATCCGGTAGTCGTCACCTGCTCACCCACAGAAAACCATATTTAATAATCCGACATCCCTATTGCCTTGGGACTATAAGAGGGTTTAGCCAGACCAGTTGCTCTCATTGCAGTGTGGTTTCAAGGCAACGGTGTAGTAATGGTGAGGCCGCAGACCATGTGTTCATTCCTGCGGACCACTGGTAGTCCACAGACCACAGGTTGGGAACCTCTGATCTAGATGGCCTTGCATACCCTTCCTCCTTATACACCCTTAATCTTTTATGCATTTAAATCTTATCTATTTAAGGGCCTCCACTCTTTATTGGCAGTACAGGAAATTTTCCTAGAAATAAACTGGCTGCAAGTGGAGTTACTGCAAAATGGGGTGGGGGGTGGGTGGGTATAGGTTACATCTGCTGGAACTGTATCAGCAGCAGCATCCAAGTTGGAGTGGACCTGAGTGACTTTATCAGAAAAATGCCAATGGATCTGCAGAGAGTTTCTCCACACTACAATCACCATTATCCCATTCTATGCAGAAAAGAGAGAAAGATCTATTTATTGATTAGTCCACTGACCGTATCAACAATAAAACACAAAAACCCAAAAATACACAAATAGACACTCATCATTACCCTAAAACTCCTGTAATAGTTATTTAAAACACAATAAAACTTGATCAATAATAAGTTTGGTAAAATGGGATTAAATTACAAGATGAAAGCAGGGGTAATATAGTGACGAGTGTAAAAGAATCAGTTGGAAAATTTATATACATTCATCGCCATGACAAGGGACTGGAACTACATTAACCAAAATTGCAGGTTGCTCAGAAACTAGGAAGAATTCAGAGCACCTTTCAATTTTGGTTACTGCAGTTAAGTCTGGATTAAGCCAGATCAGCTCTGTGCGTCGTTCCTCTCTGTCACAATAAGGGGTTAATGTAGATGTGCCCCAAGATGTCACAGTTCTGTCATGATGAAATATGATATATGGTTTGAATGGAATTGTATGAAAGGAATGAATGAATGAATGAATGAGAGCTAATAATTTTGGAGACAGCATTCCTGTCTGCTTGCTGAACTGTAATTAAAAGTTGCTGAACTCCTGACAGTTATAAGAACTGTGACAAATGATTAGCTGTTGAACTTTTGGGGGGGGGGGGGAGTTTTTACATCTGTTTATCAGAGACAATGGCTCTTTAAATTAAGGAAATGTTTACAAAGTTCCTTTCAACACAAACAAAGCAAACAAAGCTCCTTGAGAAGGAAAATCAATTACACAAAATCAACATCTGCTAAGAATTGATGGAATCAACATGCTTCCGGCTGGAAAACAACCTGTCATTTATTTACAACTGTGAAACAACATCAGTAAAAAAAAATATTGCTATATAAAAGACCTTATTACAATCCAAAAAGTGTGACAGACAGCAGCACTGTTGACCTATTATGCTTTGTTCCTTGGGAAGGAGAGAGATAGTGTACCTTGGAGTGTCACATCTGCAATGGAAAGCAGAAGTTTGGTCACTTGGGCTCCTTTTCTCAAGGGAAAAGAAAGGAGTGTGATTTTGGAGTTTTGGATTTTGCGGGGAATCAGGTTCCGCTGTATGGAAAACAGGGATCTGATCCTTGACATTGTTCTTAGAGAAAGGGGATGCATTTTGGCATTTTGAAGTTTACAAGTTTTGGAACTGTGCATTGGCAGATTTGCAAGGAAGTAGTCTGGCCTAAGAGATGTTCTTTACGAAGGAAGAATGGTGAAATGGTGATGTATGAATGAGGATGGATGAAAGTGTGTGAATCTATATAAATAAAAATGTAATGTTTGTTTGTGGGATTAACATAACTCAAAAACCGCTGGACAAATGGATACAAAATTTGGACACAATATACCTATCAAGCCAATGAGTGACCATCACTCATAAAAACACTGAAAAACACAGCAGAAGGGACTTAAAAAGCCAAAAAGAAGCTACAGTGCATGCGTAAAATGACTCCCCCTGGCAAACAAAACATACAATAACATATTCACACTCTCTTCCAGATGACAGCTCCCAGCATTCCCTAGACAGGCCCTTAGGAGAGAAGGAGGATCCAAATGCACTTCTTTCAAGATGCAAGCTTTCTTCTTCTTGGATTTCTTTGAGAGCATCCCAATTCCTCCATATTTCCAATTTCCTATTCCTAGACTGCAACTCCCAGCAATCCTCCAGATAGATAAGATAGATAGATTACATATAGATAGGTAGGTAGGTAGGTAGATTGATCAGAAGACTGCTGGGAATTGCAGTCCAAGAATAGGTAGGGAAGAAGGAAAGGGGAGAAAGAGGAAGGAAAAGAAAAAGGGCGGAAAGAAGGGAACAGGAAGAGAAGAAAGGAAGTAAGGAGGGAAGGAGAGAAAGAGGGAGGGAAGGTTGGCCACAGCAACAAGTGGTGGATACAACTAGTATTGAATATTTTTTTTGAATAAATATATATATATAATATGATATATTGTATATACATATAATATCTATAATATTATGATGGAATGCAATATAATAATAATAATATGATATAATAATAATATATTTATATTACATGTAATATTACTAATAATATTACGATATAGTGGTATGGTGCAATATAGCAGTGTGCAGTGCTGATATTGTACTACGCTAATAATATAATATATTGTATGTAATATATACCTTGTAAGCCGCTCTGAGTCCCCTTCGGGGTGAGAGGGGCGGCATATAAATGTCGTAAATAAATAAACTAATAAATAAATGCAATTCCCCTTTGTCTGCTTTGTCTGTTTGCTAGGCAATGTAATTGTAGGTTATTTGTGAATCCAATGTAGTTACATAGAATCTGTATGTCTGTATGTCCAATGTTGTTCTTTGTGTAAAAATGTTAAAGTTCTGATACCCTTTCTCTTACTAGAAAATGGCAATAAGAAGAACCTATGCTTTAAAGTTATTGAAAAAATATTCATAACACTTCTATGACCTATCCACAGACATGTAAAGCAATCTTAGGTCAATGTCTCCACCAGAACGCTATCCTTTTTTTGGACTGGAACTCACAAAATCCCCCAGCCATCATGGCCATTGGCATGAAGCCTATCACTAGATCAGTAACATTCTGCCCATCTTTCAAGTATCGTGCCCTTTCTTCTTTACTGTTCTGCAACTGACAAAAATATTCACAACTTTGAAAAAATGAGAATACAACACATGTACTGCCTTATATCAAAATCATTAGTTGCCGACCAGGGACTAATTCCAATCTCAGAATCTATTCATCTCCCTTGCAAAATTTGCTTGTAATTTAGTTACAAAAATTATATATTCTGGATTTCAGAAAACAGCTACAGCCTAGAAAGAGTTAGAACAGATGTGTGAAAATGACTGTCTTAGCCTGCCTGGCAATCAAAATATTGCTTCTTATGAATGAACAAGGACACCCTCATCCTTCTCATCAATGAAGAAAAATATACACAGCATGGAAGAATCCTCAATATACTCCCAAACCATCATTTAAAGGAAGCCAGGCTTTCCTCATTGCAGTTCTCAACACAAAGTCACTTACCAATATTGGAATGCTTCAGGAGACGGCAAATTCGAGCTTCTCGCTCCAATTTCTGGTGATCTAGAGACAAAATAAAGAGCAAGTTCCCATTAGCATGTGAAAGACAATTAATTCTGAATATTCCTGCCTTAGTACACCATATCTTCTAGAACCTCAAACGTACATGTTACAATTTCTGTGGTAGTTCTAGAAGATAATAAGGTATGATAGTAGCATCTGTAGAATGAACAGGCTCAGATTAATGTTTTTGAATGATGTGAACTTTAAAAAAATAACATTTAGAGAAAAATATTTTAGTCCAGTCTCCTTTCCTGCTGAATTTGTTGCAGCAAGTGTATTTTCTTACAGTAAACAATTTTATTGATCAACCAATTGGCCTTATCAAAACAGACAATATAAATACAACATACAGTACACATCAATACAGTATATATGTTGATCATTCTGCTATCTTGGCAGCCACCTCTCCACAAAAGTCAACATTGACATTGAAATACAACACCGCCTGAGCTCTGCGAATGCGGCAACATTTTTCCGAATGAAGCAGAGAGTTTGAGGACCGGGACATCCATAGAGATACCAAGGTGCTTGTTTATAAAGCTATTGTCCTCCCAACCCTGCTCTACGCCTGCAAGACGTGGACTGTCTACAGACGTCACATGCAACTCCTCGAATGATTCCATCAGCGTTGCCTCCGAAAAATACTGCAAATCTCTTGGGAAGACAGGCGAGCAAATGTCAGCGTGCTAGAAGAAGCAAAGACCACCAGCATTGTGGCAATGGTCCTTTACCATCAACTCCACTGGACTGGCCACATTGTCCAGATGCCCGATCACGGTCTCCCAAAGCAGTTGCTCTACTCCCAACTCAAGAACAGAAAACGGAAAGTTGGAGGACAGAAAAAGAGATTTAAAGATGGACTCAAAGCCAACCTTAAAAACTCTGGCATAGACACTGAGAACTGGGAAGCTCTGGCCCTTGAGCGTTCCAGCTGGAGGTCAGCTATGACCAGCAGTACTGTAGAATTTGAAGAGGCACGAATGGAGGGCAAAAGAGAGAAATGTGCCAAGAGGAAGGCGCGTCAAGCCAACCCCGACCGGGACCGCTGTCCACCTGGAAACCAATGCCCTCACTGCGGGAGAAGATGCAGTTCAAGAATAGGGCTCCACAGTCACCTACGGACCCAATGCCAGTACACTGATCTCGGAAGACAATCCTACTCGGACAACGAGAGATCACCTAAGTAAGTCCAAGTAAAATTATAAATATTTTATTACCAAAATTGAACCTTTATATTTTGACTTTTTCTCCTGATTGGCAATCAGAATTTGTATGTTTCACTTCACCACCCGATTGTTTATATTTAGGCGAGGCTTCAGTTTCTGTGAAACCTTATAGTCTCAAATAATGAACACATTTCTTTATAGATTTCGGTGAAACAGATTTTAAATTATTACTAGTGTCTAGCAGCCCAGTGTAAATGTTATAAAGAGTGAATTCAACTACTGACTTTGCTTCAACATGACAGATATAGATAGATAGGGAAGGAGGGAGAAGGCAGGGAGGGGGCACATTAAAATAGTAGTCTATTTTAAGATAAAGGGGCAACATAAATCACAGCTACTAACAACTTACAAATCTAAATCTCAATAAAAACTTCTCTTATATTTTGATAGAAACATGGCTCTCTGGGTGTTGTTCAAATAAATCCTCCATCGTTCCTACAGTGCAATAACAGCTGAGGGTCACCCATTTTCTGCTGATGCTTTACTTCTGCTGTAACTTTAAGCTGTTTTATGCTAAATTAAGGTATTAAGACCATATTCATTCATAATATATATACACACATACAGGTAAAGATATGTGATAGAGAGATAGAGACTTAAACATTATGAACAGTGTTGAGAAAGCCAATCGAGGGTGCATCCACACAGCACCTAAAACAGGCGTACTTTTACCTGAAGTGTACAAACGATGGCTCAGGTAAAAGTGAATCAATTCAAGACAAAGCAGGAAAACCCTGCTTTGTCCTGAATTAATTTGACACCTGGAAAAACCTGGGTTTTTCAGAAGACCTGTGTCTTTCGAGGTGTGGGCGCTGTGTGGATTGGGCCCAGGAATCGTGTTGTGCAACTTCCAGGCCCAATGTATACAGCAGTCTTGGGATTTCTGAGATCCTGGAGTCTGGAAACTCCAAAAAAGTATCCAAAACCCCTTAAACACCCCAAAAAATATCTTCCCACCTCCCTTCTCCTAGCATGCCATTTCTACACACCATGGGAGGGCTGCCAGCACGGAAATGGCAGCTAGGTAAGTGGTTTTTTATTTGGGGGAAGTTGTTTTTACGGGGTTTTGGGGAGGGGATATAGGTGTCTGGGTGTTCTCCTGGAAGATTCCAGGAGAACATCTAGACACCCCTGCCAAAAATGTGGGTTTTTCTAGTAAGTGTGGGAACAGAAGTCATCCCAACCCGGGTTTTTTACCTAGGTTTTTTAAACCCAGGTCGGAGCGGACTTTTCTACTGAGTGGAACTGGCCTGAAACTATTGTCCCGTTTAATTCTGGATCATTACAGCAATGAAATTAGTACTTAGAATAATAGATTCATAGAGTTGGAAGAGACCTCATGGGCCATCCAGTCCAAAACCCTGCCAAGAAGCAGGAATATTCAAAGCACCCCTGACAGATGGCCATCCAACCTCTATTTAAAAGCTTCCAAAGAAGGAGCCTCCACCACACTCCGGGGCAGAGAGTTCCATTGCTGAATGGCTCTCATAGTCAGGAAGTACTTCCTAATGTTCAGATGGAATCTCCTTTCTTGTAGTTTGATGCCGTTGTTCCGCGTCCTAGTCTTCAGGTCAGCAGAAAACAAGCTTGCTCCCTCCTCCCTATGACTTCCTCTCACATATTTATACATGGCTGTCACATCTCCTCTCAGCCTTCTCTTCTTCAGGCTAAACATGCCCAGCTCTTTAAGCCGTTCCTCATAGGGCTTGTTCTCCAGACTCTTGATCATTTTAGTCGCCCTCCTCTGGACACACTCCAGATAAAATTCAACCATATTCCTTCCACAGACTGTTGCAATGATGACTACCTTCCCTGTGGCAGAAACATGAATATTACCTTTCTACGTAGAAATCTGACTTCCCGGACTCTGCCAACTGAGAAAACATAATAGTCTACAATATTTATTTATTTATTTACTTACTTTACTTTACTTTATTTATATACCGCTGTTCTCAGCCCTTAGGCGACTCAATAATCATCTCTGCAGACCAGTATTGAGATTAAAAGCACACAGGACTTGCTAGGGCTTTTAAAAAAACAATTTATACTGTATGTAGTTATTGTAGGTATCCAATACTAGAGGGGAATCAACACATACAGAAGGAATGGAGCTACTATGACTGTTTTACTCGTGAGGCTTTTTTCTAATATACAACCATCATCTGGTGCTATGTACTGTGAAAAAAACACATCAGGACAGCAAAGTCTGGAGCATCACAGTTTGAGTAAACATTGTTTCACAACTGTATCCAAACTAGCTGCTGGACTGTTCTGGTTTAAGTGTGCTTGTATTTAATATTTGTTCTAATAAATGCTAGCAAACGCTGTCAGTTTTAAAGCAAAGGGTGTGTAAGCTCTACTTGTAAGTCACTGTGCTTTGTTTTGATTTTCTTCAATTCTCTCAGGACGAACATGGCTTCATCTCTGTGCACACTGAGTTCTGACGATACAAGATTCACTCTCCGCATGAGAAAATAACAAGACTTTCTGCTAGTTAGGTTGCTTCTATTTCTTATGAAAAGCCTTGGAAATGTAAAATATTACCCTCTTTTTGCAGTTTTCCCATTTATGAGATACTCTTAAGCGTTCTGTAGAAAGAGGTATTACAGATAAGGTGAAATCAGAGGTATTTCCTTCCAAGAATGAATGACATTTTTCCTGCAGCTTTACCTGTCCAAACGTATCTCCTGTTACAAACCATCACGAAGTCTAAGATCATCTGGAAACAGGCCCGTAGCCAGGATTTCGTTTCGGGGGGGGGGGGGGTAATTTTTTTTCAGGGGGGGGGGGGGGGCTGAGTCTGGGTGAAAGAGGGTCTAGCCTAGCAAACCTTTTGTATCATTACCCCAATACCCCCATGCATATGGGATATATTGAGTATGGTGATCAGATCATGATATGAATAAACATAACAGTTTAAATAATGCACCAGTAAGGCCTTTTTGTGAACCACCATGAGAATTTGGGGGGGGGGGCTGAAGCCCCCCGAGCCCTCCCCCCCCCCCCGGCTACATGCCTGTCTGGAAAGGCCCTGCTCTCGATCCCACCATCATCACAAACGCAATTGGTGGGGACGAGGAACAGGGCCTTCCCGTCTGTGGAATTCCCGCCCCAGGGACATCAGACTGGCCACCTCCCTTCTGTCTTTTAGAAGGAAACTCAAGACTTGGCTATGGGACCAAGCGTTTGACCATTGAATAGCAGCAATGTGAGAAGAAGATTTAAGCAACTCGCGATAATGAATTGACCCAGACCTGGATCTGGATTTTAATTGGCGTGTTTTAGATTGTTTTAGTTGACTGTTCTTAGCATAATATTAGTATTATATATTACTATATTGTACTATACCATTATACTGTAATATTATTAGTAATATTACATGTAATATAATATATATAATTATAATATCGTATCATATTATATTGTATCACATTATAATATTATCAATATTATATGTATACACAATATATTATATTACTAGCACAGTGCAGAGACAAGGTGGAACTGTCCTATTTTCCGAGTTTCCAACAGACCTCACAACCTCTGAGGTTGCCTGCCATAGATGCAAACGAAACATCAGGAGAGAATGCTTCTGGAATATGGCCTTATAGCCCGGAAAACTCACAGCAACCCAACTCCCAGGATTTCCCAGCAGCTAAACTGCATTCATTCTATAGTGTAGATCAGGCATGGGCAAACCTGGGCCCTCCCAACTCCCACCATTCCTAGTTAGGGAGTTGAAGTCCAAAACAGCCGGAGGGAGGGCCCAAGTTT